AGAAACAAAACGAATGAGCAAAGGAAAAACAAAAAGAGAGAGAGAAACATGGGCGCCTGGGTGGCTCAGTTGGTTAAGCGTCTGCCTTCGGCTCAGATCAGGATCCCAGGGTCCTGGGATTGAGTCCCGGGTCGGGCTCCCTGCTCAGTGGGGAGTCCGCTTCTCCCTCTACCCCTCCCCCCTGCTCGTGATCTGTCTCTCTCTCACTCTCTCAAATAAATAAATAAAATCTTTAAAGAGAGAGAGAGAGAGAGAAACAGACCAAGAAACAGACTCTTAACTTCGAGAACAAACTGATGGTGACCAGAGGGGAGGTGGGTGGGGGGATGGGTGACATAAGTGATGGGGTTAAGGAGCACACTTGTTGGAATTGTTGAATTGCTATATTGTACACCTGAAACTGACATGATACTGTATGTTAATTATCCTGGAATTAAATTTAAAAAATTACATTTAGAAAAAATTGAAAATAAAATGATGCCTTTTTAAAATCCTTGTTTGCCCACCAGTGTAAATGGAGTCTCCCTCCGTAGATGTGGTTCGTGCGGAGCTTATCTCTACAAGGCCAAAAGCAGTACGCATTTATCACCTGCATATCTGTATAGCTTTAATCTTCAGGCTGAGGGTACTAAGATCACGGGGTGGGGACATCCCAGAGAACAGTCATTACTCATGTCCATCCGTGCAGCCTTCAATTAAGTCTGTAGAATTATATCTAAATTCCTCAGACAGCCTCCAGGTCACGGTCCACTTCACCAGTCCACACCCCTCCCCCTCATCTTGCGGTTGGCTTACCTCGCACCACGGCTCAGGTGAGATGCAACTGGGTGGACTAGCTGGCTTTGGCTTAAGCCAGTGGTTCTCAAAGTGGGGCTTCTAGACCAGGAGCATCAACATCACCCGGGACTTGTTAGAAATGCAAACTCTCAGGCCCTACCCCACACCTGCTCAGTCAGAACCTCTGGGGTGGGGCCCAGCCATCTGTGTTTTCAGAAGGCCTCCAGGCAATTCGGCCACGCTCTAAGGCTCAGGAACCACCTGGCTGTGCGGCTCCCTGAGCCTGGGCTGCCCTTCTCAGGCCTCTTCCGCCTGTTGTCCTCCCAGCACCATACTGTCCCTTTCAGGAAGCCCTCCTGTGCACCTGTGAGTGTCTCTTCCCAGAACACACAGCCCCTCCCCCTCTCCCCTCCCCATTCTGGTGACAAGGCTTCATTTCTGCTCCTCTTCACGGCACAGCAAGTTCTGCTTCGTTGTTCGGTGGAGCCATGAGCGTTTGCTCGCAGCCTCCCAGATGGATTCCAGGCTAACGCAGACACCCACGTTGCTCTGAAGGCACCTTCAGCAGTAAGGGCCTCCCTTCGCTCACCATCCACAAACATCAGCTGAGGGCCTGCGTATGAGGCAGAGGCTGTGCCAGGCCCTGGGGGTTCCCAGGTGAGAGGTGTGGTCCCATCCTCCAGGAGCAGAGAATTGTATAATTTGCGTGGTGTATTCCACGGCACAGATATGACGCAATTTATTTATCCATTCTATTACGAGTGGACATTTGGGCTGTTTCCAGTTTGGGACTTCTGTGAATAAAAATACTACAAACATGGGTGGACATATACACTCATTCCTCTTGAGCATATACCAGAATGGAATCCATGGCCTATGAAATGGGTGTAATCTTAGCTTTAGTTGGTACTGCTAAACATTTTTCCAAGGTGATTATACCAATTGGCACTTCTGCCAGGAGCGCATGAGGGTTTGGCAATATTTGGTATTATCAATCTTTTGAGTCTTAGTCCTTTGGGTGAGTGTATATGTTGTAAGTTTTAATTTGCTTATTGGCTATATAGATGTCCACTTTTAAGATGTTGCTTGCTGATCAAGACTTTTGCCTATTTTGGGGACACCTGGGTGCTCAGTTGGTTGAATGACCGAATCTTGGTTTTGGCTCAGGTCATGATCTCATGGGTGGTGAGATCAGCCGGAGTCTGCTCGAGGTTCTCTCCCTCTGCCCCTCCCCCGCTCTTGTGGGCGCTTTCTCTCTCTCTCTCTCTTTCTCTCTCAAATAAATACATTTTAAAAAAAGACGTTTGCCTATTTTGTCTTTTTTCTTATTGACCTGCAGGAGTTCTTTGTACATTCTAAATAGAAGGCCCCCGTCAGGGACATTACTGAAAATATCAGCCTGTGATTTGCCTTTTCACTCTTTCAGTGGTAACTCTTGATGAAGAGAAGTTCATGAAAGGTCAATTTATCTATGTGTTCATCTAGTTGGTTTTTTTGGATCCTATTTAAGAAGTCTTTGTTTTAATATTAATAAATCCAGAAATAATGACAAAAATCACTAATACTAGAAAAAACACAAGACATGGAGAAAGCCTGACAGTAAGTGTGGAGAAAAACACTGGCTCTGCTCATGAGGGTGTGCCTGCTTGAGTGTGACGTGCAAAGCCTGGGCTTTGTTCTGGGACGGGATGGAGGTGAGAGGTAAGTCTCTGATAAGTTCAGCACACACCAGCTGGTGTCCAGTTTGGACAGGGTGCTGTGCCAGGGGCTGAGGATGGCTCTGGGCGGGGTGGGGGGGGAGGGAGCCTCTGACTGACTCAAGAGAAGGACCCCCTCTTTTCATGTGTGTTCGACTGGGCTCAGCCCCCCAAACCCTGCGGGCTCCCCCTAACCCAGGTCCTGCTCCTCCTCCTCTGTGCCAGAGCCTGCAAAGACAGAAGTGTTGACACTCGTCCAGCTGGCTCAAGAAGGGGAAATTCTCCCCTCCCTGAGTCACCACAGGCAGAAGGAGCTTCACATAACAAGCATGGGACGACAAATGATCACTAGGCTTGTTTCACTATGCTGTATCACTTCCAAAATCCCCGGTGATGCTTTCGAATGAAGTCTGGATCCAAAAACTTTCCCCATGTTTCCCCCAGTTTGAACAGAACAATACCCAGGGAATCACAAGCTGACTTGTAAAATTGACTTCCCCAAAGAAAATAAAACAGATCTCAGACTCAGGGTTCTAATATGTAGTCTGGAGGGATCAAGCCCCCACTTCTTCTGCTAGAGGGTGGTAGTAGAAGGCTGGTGGCCCCTGTCCCCTTGCCAAGAGGACCCCAACCCAACAGATGGACACAAGCCTCCTTCTGTCTCCTCCAGCAGAAAGCCAGTTCTAGGGTTCCTGGGGCATCTTTCTCCCCATCCAGCTTAATGGAGATATACTGCACATGGCCTGGGGAGCTCAGAGACATGGTGTACAAGTCCCCAACATCATGAGCTGACGGAAGCACACCTCCTCTCTAGGGCAGGGCGGTGACCACAGCTGGGTGACAGACATTCATTTCTAACATGCTCACATTACTAGCTTCGGGGAAAACCACAAGTGATCTCTAGCAGTGCCCAGGTTCCTTGTTTGAGCCTGTTCCCCACCTTTCCCCACCACCTCTTCCCATTTACCATTTCTCACAGAACTCAGAGGTCGAGGGTAGGGTCAATAAAAGGGTCCTTGAAATCCACACATAGGGTGTAAAATTCTGGATGTCTGTCCATCTATTTCCTCTGATTCTGGAAGGGTTGCGGGGCTTCAGTAAGGCTTAGAACCACTGGCCCTCTTTAAATAGAATGCATCAATTTGATAAAGTTAATTTGCATTGATGAGTTATGCATCTTCAACTAACTGCATTTCCAAAATAACACCTGGGGAAGGAGAATACTTAACTGAAAATACATTTCTAATGGCAAACTTGAGATACAGTTGAAATCTGAGTGGGGGTAGGAGGACATTGAAGCAGGAGGACCTTCCGGCTTCCTTTAAGCCACTACCATTAGCGCATAAAACCAGTTTTTCTCTCTAGATACTTTTCAGAGGCTACTGGAGGGCGAATAGGAGTTGGTGATGAGGATGTGTCAAAAGACATAAGCGGGGGCACCTGGGTGGCTCAGTTGGTTGGGCGACTGCCTTCGGCTCAGGTCATGATCCTGGAGTCCCCGGATCGAGTCCCGCATCGGGCTCCCTGCTCAGCGGGGAGTCTGCTTCTCCCTCGGACCCTCCCCCGTCTCATGTGCTCGCTGTCTTTCTCATTCTCTCTGTCTCGAATAAATAAATAAATAAAATCTTAAAAAAAAAAAAAAAAAAAAGACATAAGCGTTTCTCAGATGGAGCCCAGCCCCTCAGGTCTCAGAAACCTTCAAGGCCACTGAGGCTGCTAAGACCGTGACAAGCAAGAGAAGAATCCCACCCTGACTTAGGGGCCCAGGAACCATGCTTCTGCCCTCATACCAGATCTCAAGTGGGCAGGGCATGCCTGGAGCATACTCTCCCTCCTGCAAGGACCACGTCCCCAGAAGCCCCATGTCTGCTGCATCCTGCGTCCCCACTCTCCGCTGGTGACAAGTCACAGCTGCCCTTCCAAGGAACAATCTGAAGATCCAGCTCTTGTTCCTCCGTCTCTCACTGAGCTTTCTGACCTCGCCGGGGCCCTGCCCCCACTACAGTCAGGAGGAAGTGATTCTGTAAGGTATCCCAGGGACTCCCAGGGCTGGCTCAGACATCAGACTGTTAAATAAGTGGGAGTTTTTTCAGTGTTTTCAGAAACTTGTTGTTTAAAAAAAATATAGAACCATCAAAACTGTTTACGTAACCCCCGGGAAGTCTCAACAGATAGGGCTCCCTGTTTGTAACTGTGGCCAGGACTTAAAGAAATCGAGGAGAGGGGCTGTCAAAACCAGAGAGGCTGTCACGTTCAAGTTCTGTGCTTTTGTAACCCAGTTAAATATTTTGTTCTACTTTGCAAAGTCTCTTTTCATGCACTTTTGCCCTTTTCTGGTTTCTTTTTCCTTCCTGGTCCGCTGCTGTGCCCCAAACACTCCTGACAGTTTCTGGGAACATTGGAACTGTCACCCCAGAGACCAGAATCTGCCCAGAACTCGGGTTTGTAGGGGTGTAAGAACGAGGATGCTGGAATTCATTTAAAAAGCCTGGGAACAGTCTCTTCTCACAGATATTCCGTACTTACCGGGGTCAACGCGGCTCTCTTTCCCCCCCTCGACACACCCACAAGGTCTGCTGTCGCTGGGTCGCCCTCCTTCGAGGTGGGCATCACACTACTCGGTTCCACTCTCAGGGGTTCAGCTCGGATCCGTGCCAACTGAACCCATACGGTCCCCAAACCACACATTCTGATTATGAAGGGGATGCAAAGCTCCTGGGGAGACAATCACAGGATGAGGATTTCTAGAATCACCCTGATGTCCCCATTACTCAGTGCCACCATCCAACCAGAATCTGCCTCTCGTAGGAAAACATCCCCTTTTTTTTTTTTTTTCTTAATTAGAAAGACTAATCTTTGGATTAAAGAAGTGGTTTGGATCATGGACTTTACTGGTAAAAAAAAGAATTTGATGAGAACTCTGCCTCCACCAAATGTACAATTTGATACCATTTGAGGAGAGAGGGTAGGCCCAACAACCCCTGAAGATAAGCCTGTGAACCCAGAGATAAGAACCTTGGGCTTACAACAGGCTTCCTAAGACTTACAAAGCTCTAAGAATTCCTAACCCCTGCCCAATGAGCACCTACAGCCAAGGCCTCAGCCTAGAACCTCCTTACTGATACTTGCACTGAGCGCAGTACTGGAGAAGGCAGAGGCACATGGCCCTCACTTTGATAAGAAAACCCTAGGGTGTCCCTGCGGGGAGAATGGAGGGTGTGGCCACCCTCCACAGCTGAGGGACAGCAGCCAAAGGACATCTAAAGAGGGGTAGAGAGTCTGGGCCAGCGTTTCCTCCTCTGTTCTCTCCACCCACCCACATCCTCACCAACCTCTGATGTTGGCCCAACTACGCCTGCTCCAGGGACCCTCAGCCATTTCCCACAGGTCCCCTCCCAGAGGAGTTGTTTAATTGGTGGATGTGGGAAAGAAGAAGAGGAAAAAATCTTTCCATCCCTTCCAGCTCCCTCCACTCCACAAACACCCAATCAAAAAATGATTATTCATCTGACCTGGAGATTTCATCCCAGGTCTTATAATGGTTCTTCTTACACCCATAAGGAGAATTGAGTGATGAAGAAATGCAAAATCCCAACTCCTAAAAATGTGGTTGAAAGAGGGAAGCCCCCCCCAAAAGTTCCCATCTGTTGACCAGAGGCAATAAAATGATGACTTAAAAAATTTGGGGTCTTTCCAAATCATGGAGGAATATATGAACAGAGGAAGATGTGCTCTAGTTTTGAAACTCTGATTTGGTACCAAGATGCCCAACGACAGTAAACACCCCACCCTCTCACCAAGACCATCTGCCCACCTTACCCTGCCCATATGAGGCCCAGTAAATTCAACATTTATGGACCACTGACCGTGTGCTTCCAAACCTTCCAGGAGGTGGAGGTCCGTAGCCTCGAGGTGCCATGAGAGGGGCAGGTGAATGCCTCAGTCAACATTTGCTGTGCTATGTTTTGAGGTTTGAGGGGACAAGATTCTGAGAAAAGAGTAGCTAAGAATACTCCAAGTCTGGGACGTATTAACCTACAAATAGCACCACAGGTCCAAGGAACAATTAATTCTGCATGGTGGGACGAAGGAAGGTGACCAGAGGGGTGACATTTAAGTTGGGCTTTGACAACACATTAGAATTTAGACTGGAATGACTGGGGAGGAGTGGCATACCAGGCAGAAAGAACTGGGTGAGCAAAGGTCAGGGTTGGGGCGGGGGTTGGGGGGTTACGAACAGTTGGCTGTGTGGGGTATGGTAGGTAGTCAGGCCGGTGGTGCCAGAGCATGGGGTCTGGGAGCAGAAAAGAAAAGGCAGGCTGTGGTTCATGACAGACACAGACAAGTGCCATTCAGAGAAGCTGCTGCCCAGAGAGACAGCTTGCAACTTCACGATCTGCCAAACCATTCAGGTCAAGGCCACTTTTTCTCCTGGGAAACCCCCAGCCAGTGGCAGATGATGGCAGGGGTGCTAGGGTTTATTTCTACCCAGAGTGTGATTCCTCTAGTGAGCAATCTTTGCGCTGGAGCTCCCCCCTGGGCTGGCAGAGACATTCTCCACGCTGCACCACGGTCGGAGGACCTTCCTCCCCGCGTCTCAGGACTTAGACCTCTACCGCAGTCTGCCTGCCTCCCCCTACCCCCTTCCCTTTATCTTTCACAGGTGGCACCCCCATGAGTCCCCTGCACCCCAAATTCCATCTGGGCATGTGCCTCCCGGAGGACCCAAACTGACTGAGGAGGTCCCTGGATGAATGCTCAGCGTCTGGCCTCCATCTTGTCGGCAGTGAGGAGCCATCGAGGCTTCTTCAACAGCAGAGGGTGGGAGCAGATTGGAATTTCACAAAAGTAATCCAGCAGCAGGGCGAGGAGCCAACCAGAGGGGTGCAAGTAGGGTGGTGAAAGAGCCATTTCAACGGGCACTGCATTTATTGGTACAAGGTTTTGGTGGCCTGTGTCATTTACTATGTAGGTACCCTCTTACTCAACAGTCTCGATTTTAGAAATCCTATAGGAACAGTGGCACAGATGCATAAAAATATAAGGATGAGGATGTTTATAGCGGCCTGACATACGGTTAGTTACACAACATTGGAAACCTCCATGTTCATCACAGGAGAGGAGAGGAAATAATGGTGCGTCCATGCAGTGAAATAATCCCATGCAGCCTTTGGAATGTAGGCAGTAGGTCTCTCTGTCCTATCTGAGAAAGAGGTACACAGTGTATTGCTATTTTATTTTTTTTTAAGACTTATTTATTTATTTTGAGAGAGCGAGAATGAGAGAGAGAGAGAGAGT